ATAACCTCAACTGCGGCAACAATTTCTATTTAGAAGACCATTGAAATATTTTTGTTAAAAAGCTATTGTGTAGATAAATAACGTGATTGAAAAAGGGTCGATATAATTGTCGCTCTCAAAGTTAACTAGACTTATTAGCTTCATTTTGTTGCATTTTATTTTAGTCCATTTTTTATACTGCAACTGTATAACTGTGATTGCATCCTACTTTGTGTTCAATAAAAACCGGGCAATCAACGTATTTAAGTCTTATAACCATCACGCAAGGCATTGACTATCTTACATTGAAAATAAAAAATAAAAAAAATAAAATAAATAAAATTCAATTTAAATGTTCAGCAATTGATGTATTTTTTGAAATTGTTTACAAATCAATGGGAGGTACAGCGAATTCGAATCAAAAACAGATGAGATTGTTTACAAATAAATGGGAGGTATAGCGAATTCGAATCAAAAACAGATGAAAAATTTGTTCTTCTAGATTTTTACAATTTGCTGGCTTTTCTTAATTTCTCCAGATGGCGGTTAAGTATTGGTGGTAAGGTATTCAACGTTTTGGTGTACATGCACTTGATTGGCTTGGATTTTGTTCCACTATTGCCTTTAAAAAGTTGTCGTCAAAGTTAGGGGGTCGTCCCGCCCTCGGTTATATCTACAAAATGGAATTTTACAAATCAACTTCTAACCGCCCAATCAGTTATCAGTCCTTCACCGTATATGCAGTTATCAGTATATATGCTGAATATATGCTGAATGAGCTATCCGTTTAGCTCTATTGTTTTGTTCAAATTCCTAAAGCATTATATGTCGAATACGCACTTTGTGACTCTTCATTTCAGAGATTAAGAAAAGCAATTGAATGTAACATGCACCACATAAAACACTTTACAGAAGACCTATTTATACAGTGAAAAGGCTAGAACCACAAGATCTTCGTCTATGGTACAAAGGAACGCACAGAATATTCATTGCTAAAAACCAGCTGCAACAAAAGTCCGCAAGATTGAAAAGAACAGCGTCAAAAAAGTGACACAGCAAGAGAACTTTCCGAACAAGCTAAAGCTATTCGTGAGCAGGGTTTAGCGTTTATTGAAGAGATAGCGAAATTTATGTCTCTAAGTTGTGAGCTATGTAGCGTTGAAGTAAAGAATTTTCATGATCTTGATAGCCATGTTGTAATGAGAAATTTTCTAAGCGCTTTTTACTGCTGGACAACATACGTCAACATTCAAATCCCGATTGTTTCACGTGGGTTAATTTGATTTCTAAATCTTATTTTGATATTGTTTTTATTTAGATGCGATCCATGTAAGCGGGGTTTCGCAGATCGTAGATCTGCGCGAAATCATTTACTTATCAAAAATCAAAAGGTTGAAGATAAAATGTTCTCCAGCTCATAATGTTCCAAGAAATTTGTTAGAAGATATTTACTGCGACAGCTTGAATTAGTGGGTCTTAGCGACCATAATAAAAACGCTTCTTCAGCTATTGATGAGGAAATAGCCAAATTTATGTCATTGCGTTGTGAACTATGCAGCGTAGAGATAGCAAATTTTACCGTTCCCCGCGATCGTATGCCCGCAGAGCACAACGTCAAAGAATTTTTCCAAACGTTTTTTTACTTTTGGAGCACATACGAACTGTAGTCGTGTATTTCCCGATCGCAAGTCGATGCGTAATCATTTTCTTATGAAACATCAAAAGGATGAACACAAAACATTTGTTTGTTCTCAGTGTCCCAGAAAATTTGTACTGTGTACCTATTGCAGCGTCACAAAGTGATTGCGCACCGTGATCGTACTAACACTTGCAAAAGTTTTAATAGAATGTAAGTGTTTTATACATTTGTAGATTTAGTACATTTATAATTTATAATAATAATAATTTTTTCTCCCTGAATTATGTACACAAAGAGAAGTGGAATCTGTTATATTTTCTCGATTTTTTTTTTTTTTTTTTAATGATTTGAAGAATCGTTTCTTTTGTAGCTTAGACGGCAATGACAAACAACAAATATGACACCTTTTTCTTTTTTTGTAAATATCATTGTTTGAACTTTTATTTATTGTTTTATTGTTTCGCGAATTGCTCTCAATTCTTTAACCAACAGATCTAGCTTTGCAGATTTCATTATCTTTACCAAGCTATGACGCCAAGCTACCAGCCACCGGCCATGCTGTTCGATCGTGCTTCTTTTGCAACTTTCAGTAACTCGTTCGGCTAGATAACCAGCACGAGCGCTCTGCATTGATTTTGTTGTACCTGCGCCAGTAGCTTTCGCAACTTATACCTTCGTAAAGGCTGTGACTATGCTCAAGTTAGGAATCTTATTTGTAATGACCACAAGGATATATGATCTCATGATCATATATATGACCAGTAAGAGGAAGCCCAGCAAAATATATGAACAGCAAGAGGAAGACCGGTAAAATATATTTATGGGAGTAAGATGATGACCCGTAAAAAGAATATTTTCTTGGTTCAAAAAACCAATAAGAAAAAAGAAAAACAAAAAATTGACTTTTTTCAAATGCGGTTTTCAAATCGAGACAATTTTTGAAGGAAGCACTTTAAAGTATTATTACACAATATTGTTAATTTATTTTTTGCAATGAATTGCCTAACTTTTTTTTATAAAAGCCACCTTCCTTTTGTAATACTCACACAGAACAAGGCATCAGATATCCCTTAAAGCAAATGTAGTTTTGAATCGATTTAGTGATATACGTTCAAGATTAAAGTGCGGCACTCTATCATCTCGGTGCAGCCTAAAAGACCTTTTTTTGGCGGGTAAAATTCCTAAATCTTTCTGAATTTTTCCACATTTTCATCTAAGATTTGGAGTAAATATCTGTCAGAGATGCATAAATGACAATATATAACTCATTTTAAATTGTACTTCGAGGTGATGAGTATCCAAGGTTCGCGAAGTTGCCCCACTTACTTCCATTTATTGCCTAATTTATACAATCACAAGCCTTATATGCACTCGCCATCGATTTAAAAGCAAAGAAAAAATTGCAATGAATGCGTTTAATAGCAAAGCCATTTCAAACGAATCTAGTATAATTCTTAAACAGTTTGAAAATGTTGATCAGTAACGGTAATGACCAGCTGCAGTATCTTGGTAACCAATTCAAAGTTCACGCTCGTTCACGATCATACATGCGGAAATTGACAAAACACTCTACTTCCTATAAATATACGAGTGTTTGAAAGGGATTCACGTAGTTGCTTATGTTTAATTCTTCTTTAAGACTCGGGAACATATATCGTGAACGTGGGAATACAGCTCAAGGGCGAGATGACAATTTAAATGATTGGAAGTGTCCTTTTTGCGGAAAGATCATAACTTCTGCACCTCGCCTTGAACAACACGTGGAAAATCATTTAGACAACAAACGCGAATCCCGAACTAAAACAATATCATCAACAATTAAATAAAACTCGGCGGATGACCAACTTGATAACTTGAAAGAATGAAAATGTCCTTCATGCGAAAAAGTGTTGACCTCCGCCCATCGACTGGAACAACAGCTAAGAACAGTTAAGAAGTCATGTGCGGCGAAAATGTTACCCTGTTTAAAATATGGAGTTCATTTTCCAACAAATGATTGTTTAAACGTGTCTTATGTCGACTTATCGCAGGCTATTGTAAAAGTGCGATCCAATCCACTTTCTATAAGGAGAGCCCTTGCACCAAGCCAAGTCACTGAACAGATGAGGAATATATACACTTACAGGGTGAAGCTTCCTTTTGGGTCTTACATACATTACGGAGAAAACAAAATAAGTCTATCTCGCTCCTTCAATGGTAAGTTATAAAAGAACTACATTTTCATGTTCTTTAATATAGAGCGAGTAGGCCTGATTTTTTTTTTTATTTGCAAATTAATTGGCGCTGATGGACGTAATAAAGAAAATTGACTCCTTTCCTCGAAAAAAATTCGCATCTTGCCCGTAACTTGGAATTTTAATACCTCGACCATTTCCTACGGTAAGTGGTGGCTGTCCTAGTTCCTTCGAATTATTAACACCGTTAATTAACTTATGACCATTAGGCTAGGATTGGCTACTTTTGAGGTAAGTGTAAATGCAATAAAACAATTTTTTTCTGCAATTATTTATACATATGATTTTAATGTTTCATTTATTTGTAATAGTGTGTAACCTAAAGCTAAGTGTGTGTTCATTTTTTAATTCTTTGTTTATTTTATTTTAATTTTTTTTCGTTTTTCTGCTTTTTTTTTAATTGTCAGTTAAAGACTAAACATTTTTCTTTCTTTACTCTTAAGGGATGTATGGATGATGTTTAAAATCTTTATATTCAATTCTATTTTCTTTTTTTTCCTTTTTTTTTTGTTTCTAAATATTAACAATTATTACAGAATATCTTTTAAATAAAAATGTCAATAATAGTAGTTCTTTACTCATTTCATAAAATTTTCGAAACAGTTCCAAGTATTGAAATAGAAACAAAGCAAATTGAATAAAAATTTATTGGTGTTTCTGGAGCCAAGACTATTTCTACGTTAAGCAACACGGTTTTCTTTAGTCATTGAATGGCTACGATATTGTTTTGGGGAGCGGGGGAGGGGAGGGGGGGGAGGAAAGGGCGTACACCACGGGTTAGTTGTGTATTATCATTGCAATAATCTTTACTATACATTCACATATACAAGTACATTTTTTTTTAACCGTTACTTCAATCCATATTTCCCTTTGAATATCGAATTGAAGCACAGTTGGCTTTCTTGATTTTTAACTTTTTTTTTTTTTTTAATTATTTTGAATTATATCTTTTATTTTTTTAATTTTCTTGAATTAAGGTTTGGTTTTTTTTTTATTTTTTTTACAAATTCGTTTTTTATTTTTGGGATTCAAAAATTTGTGTTCTGATTTTTTAATTCTCTTTCCTTTTTATATAATACATAAAAATTATTTTTAAAATTTAAGAATTCACCGTTTCCGATTTGTTCTTTTATTATGTATATATATCATCTGTATTCGTTTTTTTTTCAAATTATTCTTCCATTATTTTAGTCGGTGAAACTACTTACAGTTAATAATTAATTATATTAATATAATAAGACAAATAATAAAACTAAAAAATCTTGTTTCTATGAATTATTTATAATATATGACAAAAAAAAATTATAATAATAAAAGTTATTAAAAAAAAAAACATAAAAATAAAGTTAGAAATGATTGCAATCTCTCTTAACGCGTATTATTATTATTAAATCAATTATAATGCGAAGAATGCATGTAGATTTTATATCTTTAGCTTAAAACAGAAACATTACGTTTACTTTTTTCTTTTTTTTTTTCATTAATATATGTATAGTATTTTTGTAAATAATTAGAGAAAATATTGGGATAACTCCATTCAAATTCAATTAATCTCCTGAATTTCTCCATCCATATTGTTCATCTGTTGAGGATGATTCGATTTTACCATGCAAGAGCGGGCAACCGATTCGAAGAGTCTAAAGTTTATGATTAAAAAAAATAATAATAAAGTTATGATGATAATAAAAAAAAATGAATTTTTTTATCTTTAATCATTTGGAAAGCAAACAACAAGACTTACTTTGATATTTCTGGTGCGCAATGAACAAAGTCGTGATCCCAAAATTTATATATGGGATTCTTGATAAGTTCAATGAACGTTATCAATAAGCCCCAGGGATGTGGACGATTCACTATAAGGCGCTCCAATAATACTCTGGTTATTTGTTCTTGTATGGCTTCGGAGTTGGCCTCAGCAAAGAGATGTAAAACAGCGCAGCTAAAATAGTGCGTATGACTGTTAGGATAACGTAACTGATTGGCAATTGCATTAAGAAAAAGATAACGGCCCTCAGTATCTAAATCAACAGCCAAGTTTTGGAATATATCCATATGAGCACTATGCGCAATATTTGATGTATTGGGAACGAAATTTTTACTTCTGAAATTTATAATTGGTTTAAGGATTTAAGATTTAAGCGAGACAAAGTAAATAGACAGAGATTAAAAAAAACCTTACCTAATGTGTGCAATCGCTTGAGTACCCACGTACAATACAAGAGCGTTCATTAGCGGTATATTGTACCGTGAACCGGGCTCATTTGATATCTGTAGATGACTGCGTAACTCAGACAGGAACGTAACCGGAGCTCGAGCTTTTAGATAAGAATCAAGATCCTTTTTAAAATTAACTGGTTGTATATTTATTGCATAATTGGTACAAATTTTTGGTGCTGAAGCCGTTTCAGCCAGCATGTCGACTTTTAAGTTTGGAGTAAATGGATCAGGTAAGCGCATATTTCGTGGGAAAGCCGCCAGAATGATGTTGCGCATCTGAATACAGTTTGGTGGTATGGCATCACAGAAACCAAAATGATAATCGCAAAGAAATTCGGGGAAATCGTGTAACAACACGAGCAAAACTCGTAAAGTTCCACGATACAGCAACTGTACTGGTTTCGCTAGTTCGGCGTTCCGGAGGAAAGGTGCCAGATACTTGAAGAGATCTAATAGCAATTGAGCATATAATGGCCATCCTTTCTGTTGAGGAATCTGCGCGAGAATGCGTCCAATAAATATGCGATGAGAAATAAGCTCCAGCCACGCGTAACAGAAACCTGGTGCAAGGGATGGATTTAGGAGATGGTAGGTGTGCGAAAAAGCAGTTACAATGCTATGCATCAATGATTCTAAAACAACATCCGGCGAGCTAAGCTCAAGGAAGAGCATGACAAAAAATCGATGATAACCAAGCTGTTGGAATGCGGTACCGTGTATATCTTGATCTTGTAGCAAAATTCCCAAAACAATGCCCAAAACCTTGTTGAGCAAGTTGATCTTAGTGGTAGGATTCCCAGATTCACCGGAATGACGAACGAGGAGGGCTATCAAATGCACAAAAGCGTCTATCCAATGGAAAATCTTTGTCTTCGCCTGCACGGGAGTGTGCGCAGGGTCAGTCAGAATGCGATACACCAAATCAATACAAAACTGAGTCGCCTGACGAAAGAACCGCGTAATCAAGTCGTCAGTTTTTAATATACCGTAAAGATTCATTTTCTGCACAAACGATCCAAAATTTTTAGTTTCTCGCGATAAATTGTGAGATTGCGAATAAATAGAGACCCAATCTTTTAGTAGAAATTCTGTCTTCTCTTGCAAGCCGGGCGGATCATCGCAATCGTTTGCCTGTAATATCGTTATCATATTTTCTCGAAGATCATACTTTTTAATCGTTATAGAACAGTCACTTACACTTACCCTGACATGTTGCCATCCCGAATGTATATATTGTGTAGCTCCTGCCAAGTAACGATCCGTTGAACTAAATGGCCCAATGTCTCCAGCATTGTTATTACCACACAACATGTCAATCAAATGGGACAAGGCCTCTGGATAACGGTGACGGTGTTGGGTAAGACGACTTAACAACTCTAAGGTGCCGATGAATTCGGTTTCTACTAAACTAGAGCTTGAGCGTTCATCCACTAGCAGGCGTTCCAAAAGCGTGGTTCCAAACGATACAGCTAAATAATTGTTGCCATTTTCCATGCAATCACGTAGTAACAAATCGAATTGGCTAACATTTATGAAATGCGATGTTATAAGCAATTTAATTGCATCTATATTGTAGCGAGCTTCTTCGCGAATTTCAAAAATGCATTTCGTGATGGCGCGTTCAGTGGCCGGTGCGCCGAATGTGTTCTGAAGCAAAGTTAATATGCGTAAATGTATGTCACGATATAATTTCATTTGTTCAACGTGTTCGGGAATATTGATCATGCCTTCAATAAAACCTTCAACACAACGGTTAAGTAAGTTTAACGCGGATTCGTTGTCGCGATGACGCCGAGTAACCATGAGAGCGTTAAGTAGCGCATGCATTTTACTAGCTTGCAATTGTAAATTAGAATTGTTAACACAACTATTGAGGAAAGTTTCCATTTTGCTGGCCAATTCAGCGTACATAAGACCCAATTCGTCAGTGGCAAAACTGGGGGGCATTTCTTGAGGTTTGGGTAAAAACATAGCGACATCACGGTCGGTCATTGGTTGGAATCCGGGTATGTTGCGGGCAAATTCTGCATACACTGCAAATTGATTTGGCGGTACTCCACCGACTTTAAGACGCACTTGTTCAGGTAAGCGCTCTGATTGATACGCCAAAGTTTGGGCGTCAAAGTAACGATTGTTCTCTTCGCGGGCCATTTTACGTGTTTCAAAATCAGCTGCAAGACGACGATCTATTTCGGGAGTAGCTTTTTCAGCAGCAGTTTTTTGTATGAAAGCGCATGCCAATTCTACGTTGTCGTTTGTTAGCTGCATGGATGCAGTTTCAATATCTTGGTATGTTGGCCCTCCCGGCAGAGCATTCATGAAGACTTTACGCAGATTGTTATTCAAGGTTTGCGTGATTTGATCTTTGCAAGCAATCATTGCCATGCCTGCGGCAAGATTACGTACCATTTGATGGGCCGCAGTGCGCATACGATGTTCATCAGGGTCAAGAGCAAAATCTTTGCGAACAATTTGCTCGGAAGTGGACGCAGCAATACGAACGCTACGATCGACGACAGGTTGTAACCATTCGGTTAGGGTACGTTCGATAGCACTTAGCACTATATGCTTTATTCCAGGATTTACATGCAAAAATGCAATGTTAGGGGACAGCATCACATGTTGGGTTAAAAGTTGAAAGTTTGTCACATTAATATCTACATACGAAAAACGTGGCTCTGGAGCGGGCAACATTAATGGTCCGACACCGTCATTGGTGAGATTAGGTGATGGTATAGCCCCACCCGGAATGTTGACACCACCACCGGCTCCACCCATCATCATAGCTTGTGCGTCATTTTCCGACATCATTGAATGTTGTGTGCTAGAGGTAGGCTGCTGTTGTTGCTGCTGCTGTTGTTGCTGTTGTTGTTGCTGTTGGGAAGGCGAGGGATCTATAGCTTTCGGTTTCGGCTGTGACATTTGGTGTTCAATTACCGTGAAACGACCAGGATCTTTAAGGTATATTATTGGTTTTAATTTCTGCAAATCAATGTTTAGACCTTTACAAAGAACTTCGATTTCAAATTTCAAATTCAACTTTAAGTCGGGTTCCTGATGTAACTCTCCCAACACATTCATTATGGCCATTGTCCAAGGATTTGGGGTTTTAAACACTTTCGATTTATTTGATGATTCCAGAATTTTAGCCACAAAAGGTACCACAAAAAGCAATTCTTGTTGTCCTTTATGATAAGCTTCTGCCAATAAGGACTTCAAGTCTAGATCTATTTGCAGTATTGGTCTGTTACGAGCCAAGGTCATCATACCTAACCAATGGCCAAGGTTTTTCAATAAGCTACGATCTGAAAAGTTAACTACGCCCTTATCTGAACGCAATAAGACCTTTATATTTCGTATTGTCTCTTTAGTGACATATTTATTGATCTCGGTATTTTTTAAAGCCTCCAAAAAATTGAAGTACAATGTGTGGAAGTTGAATTCCATAGAAGCTCTCTTTAGAACCAAATATTGAGCTAGCCAAGGCCAATAGTCTTTGGTCATAATATCCTTAATTTCTTCAACTTTTTGCGGAATATTCAATTGGCTGAGGTTGTTAAATATGAAAGCAGTTTTATCCTGAATACCTTCTGGTGGTACAGTCAATTTCTCTTCCTGATTAGCCACTAGTAGAGTGTCGATATTTGTAGCCGTGGCAATTGATTTCACACGGGCCGGATGAATGGATTGCGCGACTACCATTGGCTTTTGTTGAGTTGGCGTAGTAACAAGGTTGCCTGTAATTATGATAGAGAACTATATTAGAAAGAAGTGCTATGATAGAAAGATCTACAATCGTTGTTTACCTGTAACAGAATTACTGCGATATATTGAATCCTGCGGCGGTTGTTGTCCGGCAGCCCCCATTAGCATTTGTAATTTAGCTGCAGGCGGTTCTTGGCCAAGATAACCGCATTCAACATATTGTATCAAATGTGGTGGAAAATCCTTAAAATGTGGAATCGACCTGATATGCTCGCAGTATTTGTTGTACGTATGCAGGCGCGTTTTAAAACGATCCAGAGCTGTAATGCCAAAGTAGTACAGTTTTGACCCCTCCGGTTTTCGTAATGCATCTAAGACACATCGTAACGCTAGTCCTAATGCCACAAAAGTCGGCACCAAATTACGTTCAATTATGCCACCAAAAAGCTGCGCCGTGATTTGTAACTCTTTTTCCGGGTAATGCGAAAAAAAACGATATTCCTCGAAGAGATTGCGTAACATACATTGATACACTTCCTGCTCACGTCGTATGCTGGATTCCTTGAAACGTTGTAAAATGTCCAGCACCTCATCTATAGACAGAGTCGGATGAGGTGGATGGTTATATATGCGCTGGAAATACGAATTGGCTTCATCTTCGATCTCTTTGGAAACAGGGGCTTGAAGGTCAGCTATTATAGGATTATTTGGATTCGGCGGTGTTGGTGTTGGCTGCGGAGCAGTAGGAGGCATACGACCTAACGGTCCTACGTTCGGTGGCGGCGCCGGCATTTGCATTGGATTCAAGGGGTATGGACTAGCAGCTGCTGGATTCATCAGACGTGATGGTGACGCCGGCGTGGATACCAAGTTACCTTGAAAAGAGATACGCCATTAACTTGGTAAATGTCGTACAAAATGATATATATTAATGATATCAACTTACTTAATACATTGCCAAAGTTGAAAGCTCCATTGGGTCCACCGAGGTTGAGACTAGCAATATTTGTGGTCAAATTCGATAGAGTGTCCATGGTAGGACCGAACATTTGCTGGGCATTTAGATTTGCTGAAAACTGCGGCGGTGGTACGCCGCTCGGCACACCGCCACCGGCTCCCAAGTCCATCCCACGATGACTACGTAAAACACTTTGAGGTGGCACCAAGCCTTGTGGAGTTTGTTGTTGCTGTGCAGCCGCAGCAGCGGCAACTCGCGCTTTGTTTGCCATAATGGAACAATTGGCAGCCATTTGCATAATGAGCTCGGCTATTTCATGTGGAACGTTGCCAATGCAACCTTGTAAACATGAAACCATTGTATTAACAGTGTCTGGAGGCAGCTGCGCTTGCTTTGGCGGCAATTGATCGTCTGGTATCTTTGCGTTGGTTATTTGAGGACATCTTCGTTGAAGACACTTCAACATCGCCTGAATAAATGGCTCGCCGTGTTCACGAATTTTATCGCTGAGCCATTTTTCAAGCTTCAAATATTCGCGGCGAGAAGCCAAGCAAGCTAAATCAATAACAAATAGGAAAGATCTGGCATTTAAGAGAGTAGAAAGTGCTTTCAAATCTTGGGCCACGTCCAGGATGCGGGAGAGTTTTACTTGATCATACTCTGCGCCTCTAAGGTACCATTCAGACATTGCATGCATTATTAAGGGTCTTAGAGAGTGGCCAAAATTAGTAGAGCTCCACGCACTTCCTAATATCACTCCTGAGTTTGGATGATTGGCCAGAAATGTCGGAATTAATTGATTGAATAGTTCCTGACGCAAAGCAGTTAGAGGCGGTGTGATGTGCAACAATGAAAGGAAGAGAACATCAGGACAATGTTGTGCAGGAAATTTAAACAGATCGTGAACTTTGTTGTAATAACCATGTTCCGCAATATATAATAGGACTTCAACAAGATGGAGGGACTTCCAGGCGCAAATATCTTTATTATCGTTGTCAGGCGGAGTTTTTAACATTTCCACTGGAGCTGATGTAAAGATATAATCCGCAAACGAGAATAGATCGGGATTCTTCAGCATCACTGCAATCAGCGTAAACTGACCTTCCACGGTTTGCCAATGACGGTAAATGCATTCTGGATAAGAAAACAACGTTGATTGCGTAGCCAAACGAAATATGGTTAAGAGAAGATCAAGTCCAACGCGATCCTTTATTACAAATTCGGGATGATCAAGCTCTAAACACACTTCCTTCCAGTTCAATTGCGGCACTACCTCTTTGAGAGCTTGAACGAATACATCTGGTTTCCAGGCCTGTGTAGTATCTGTGCTGCTCGAACCGTTATTAGCGTTACTCGGCCCTGTTTTGTCTTTTTTGTCATTGCCGTTTGTTGCGTTTTTATCCGAATTAATCGACGAACCATCATTGTTATTGGTAGAGTTCTGCTGCTGCTGTTGACTACTGCTACCACCAACAGACTGTTGTGGCCAAAAATTTGCTGGTGTTGGTAAGTTTACATTGCAATCTAATAGCGATGTATGTCGACGACACATAAGACCAATAATTTTAGCAACATCTTGCGGTTGTAAATCTCGACTACTACTACTACCTACACTACCTCCGCTGCGTAAGTGATTTTTACAATCTTCAACGCTTGAAGTGAATTCATAACCAATTTCAAGGATTAAATTAATCCAGGATGTGTCCATAATATTATTGTGCTCGTGTGATGAAAATATTGTTTCGCAGAAATTCTCGTAAACACATTCAACTGGGATTTCTTTTAAATTAATTGACAAGTGGTAGCCATCAGTAATAGAGTTTAAGGCCAACCCGTCCTCATCTTGTAGCGACGGCTTTTGTTGAGTTAAGTTTCTGACGGATTCCAAACGGTACAAATATGGTGCTAATATCAGAGGAACACCAGCTCGCGGGAATTCGTCGCGTAGTTTCTGTACAAATTGCTCACGTAGAAATTCTTGCGGTACGTATTCTTCCAAACAGGATAAAAACAATTGCAACAAATCGATAGAGATGTCGTGAAAACTGCAAATTACACCTGCCGTTGCTTGATTTTTACCCAGATACGATTCTATAAGTTCAGGCAACGATCGCGTTAGAAGATCTCGAGCGGTTTTACGTAAATCCGGTTGCGACGAGTGAGTTAAAGATAAACATAAAAGGCACTCACTCAACTTGTTGATGCCAGTTACACGTACAATTTGTTTTACCAGATGCGCTGACGCTTTAAAGCCCTATAAACACAGGATAATTTATTATCAGTTAAGAGGAAGCTATCGTTATAAAATCAAACACCATTTTAAACATTATATACCTTTTGATGAAACCAACAATTATCGATAGCAAAACAGATGTTGGAGATGTGTGAAGCTCTCGTCAGTTGCTTTTCCAATTGGATACCTAAGAATTTCACTTGAACTTGCTGTTGTATCGTTAAATTTGATATTGAAAATGATAACGGTGAGAATGATGGATCATTAAAATTAATACATGAAAACAAACAACGCAGACAATGTCGATCCGCTTCCAAGCCAAATTCTTCAATCAACTGCAAATAAACAATTTACAAGATGATACTTAAAAAATAATTTTCATCTGTATCTTAGGAGCTTAAAGCCTTCAGTTATTTGTTAAACTAATGGAGGAAAACAAAAATATATTACATTAAATCCCGCCTAAAACTGAGATTTTGCATATAAATATATAAGTATATGTGTATGTATAAATATACATTGCTTTATAAAGAAACAACAAAACAAATAAAATGGAATCTGGCAATAACTGTCAAAAATACCTTCTTCCACTGGAAGAGAAGATTAAAAGCTTCATTAAATGGGCTAGAAAGAGACAAACACATAACAAATAAATTGCTCCAATTAATCATATGCGAGGTAGAACGTGGAAAATAAAATTTTACTACTGGAAGTAAGGACTTTACAATTAAAAAATAAGAGAAAAAAACAAAAATACACAAAGAAATGTCTAAAACCAAGTTTTATTGTGGCATATTCACCGAGTATAAAAGAAAAAAATTGGCATTTTGATAATAGAAAGTTATACCTAATCTAATGATTTTTTTAAGCCTTTAAAAGACTTGCACATAAATTATTTATTTCTATATCCAATTAGTTTTCATTAAACTTGTTTAAAAAAAAATATATATATATAGATATATATATGTAAACGCACGAAATTGGGAAGTATAGGAGACGATGATGAAAGTTGGTTTAAGAGCTGCACGAAGAAGAATGCGTCAACAATTCTTATAAAACTTTTTTCACGAACACCGCATTTTTCTGCATTTTATTTATATACATATAATAGATGAAAGTAATTTTAGTTAATTAATACTTTAACACGTTTTTACTTTTTCTTCACTTAAACAAATTTGTCAAACTTCTTTCTTCTTCACAACCGACTAACACAAGCAGAGAAATTTCCTTCTTTGCCACCAATTGTAATGGCGTCGGCAAGAAATGGTTGTCAATTATTTCTCTACTCACAGTTGCTTTAGACAGTAGTAAAGTGAAAGTTTAAAGCTCAAGTTCCAATGCAAATTATTGCTGTTTTTCTGACATAAACGTTGTAATTTCCAAAACCTGCCGAATTATTAGAATGTTTAATTGAAATTTATTCCTGTCAAACAAAAAATTCTTTAAATTTATATTTTTAGTGTGAAAAACGGGTGAGAAGCATTGTCATTGTAGTGAAGGGTTGCCATTACTTTCTCTTGTTTATTGCCACAATAGCAGTAAAATATTACTTTCTTTTGTATACTTTTCATATTAAAGCATCAGACTTATACAGCGATCGGGAGAGTCAAGCGACGGCAGCAGCACCAAATAACAAGAAAACACTTAAATAAAACTAACAACAGAAGCCTTGTTTGTGATTTTCTCATTTCTCGTTCGCTATGAGAATCATGTTACCCCTTTGAGTTCAGTGGATTGTGCACTCTACAGGTAGTACAATCAAAAAAACTGATTGCATTTTAAAATTAATGAAAATAAATACATTACTTTCGTATAGTTACGAATTCAAAACTTTGTTTAGAAGGTGTAATATTTTCTTCTTTTTCGAGGAGACAAATCCGTCCACGTTAAGTTATGACCGATTTATATTGTTTTTCCCGGTATGTTTTGCTCATTATGTTGTATTGCATGTGGTGATATTTTAGGCATCATATATGAATATATGTATATATGCTTTATTGCGCTTGCGAAGTATGTCACCTCTAAGATGGGTTTTCCTTTAATAACGAATGTCAAATTTGATTTTTTTATTTATTCTTTCTTTTTTATTTTTTTACGGTGAGTTTTTCCTCTTTTCTAAATCACTTTTGTTAACTTTTAAGTTTGAGTAACGATTTCGTAGTTCGCACACGAGCGGAACTGTTTAAATTCGGCGATCTTCTTATATTGAATGATAGGCCACATCCCGCAGAGAAAATTTTACAAAGTTTGCTGAAAGCATCAACTGGTTGAGTTTCAAAACTTAAATGCGAGTGAGAAATTGTTTCGGAAAGTAATTGGAAAGTGTTAGTAGTAATTACTTTATTCGTAAGTAGTTTGTAAGCATAATATAAAATTGCGCATAGATTAGTTTTGAATAAGCAAACAGTAAAAATATTTTCATGCAATTATTAATATTAATTCTTATCAATCGTAATAAATATACTTGCCCTGTCCAACAACACTATAACGTCTTCTTACGTAAACCCCTTTGTAAGTCAATATCGCTTATTCTTAAAAAACGTAACTTAAAATCGTCTAAATGCAAATGCTTGCCCTATTCCCTTTAAATTTGTAAGCGGAACAGTTGTTATTAGAGTCCATTAACCGACTTCAAAGCCAAAACGAAGAGGATATAAGCTCATATCTTCTTAATTTTTCTATATTACTCTTATAAGACGAAGTAGAAACAGAGTTTTGACTTACCTTATTAAGGCTTTCGCTGGTTTCGGTAAAATTTTTCTTATTCAATTGTTTAACCAATGTACCAATCTGCGTAAGCATCAATTTCAGATGGTCTAGGTTCATAGCTCTTCCATTAAATATGTTGAACGGCGACAACACACGACGATGAAAGATCGGGATTTTTTCGAACGATATTTAACAATCTTTCGAAAAAATTACGAGATCATACACACACGGTGGCGCACGAACAAAATCAACGAAAATTGAAAGAAACTAATGAATAAAAGAAAATAGCACAACGATAACAAAAAAATATTTGGAATTCTTTACTATTTCTGTTCTTTTATTTTTTAAACAAAGCACCAATTTGTCATTAACAAGTACTTCTTTATATGTATGACCATATATACATACATATATATATATATATATACGTATGTATATGTATGTATACATTAATTCGCATACACTATCAGTAACTTATACGTTTTCAAGAGTTCGTGTTGATGAAGGCATAATAATGTACACAACACACTCACCACTTACAACTACACGTATTTTCTTTGTAATATGGTCTCAAATATAAATTCGAATATCATAGATGCGCCACCACTGAGTATATTAATAAATGTTTTTATTTCTTTTACTTTTCCTCCTCTTCTTTTTTAATAAAAACGCAATTGACAAAAGTCATTTTTTTTCTTATTAAATTTTTCAGAGTTAGCACTTTTTATAATTGATCTTGCGATATCCACATGCGTTGATATTGTAGCACATACGTTGTTATTATTTTGGCCCCTTATAAGGGGCCAAATTAATTAAACACTTATTAAGCAGCAATTTATAATTAAAATTTTAATCGCCTATTTACTAGAATTTAGTAAATTTCACAACAATTTGATTCTTTTCGATATTGGCCTTACGACTGCTTTCTTTATGTTATTCATTAGTATTAATTTATCATTTTTCCTCCTTTCATATCTTTTGTCTTTTTCGTTGTCGTGTCATCGCCACCGCAGTCGAACTTCTCGGTCATTATTTTTACCTTTTTACACTTACAAATAATAGCAATATCTACGTCATTTTGGTATTGTTTTCCCTCTTTGCATTCCAAAAATTTTGTGTAATATTGTTTCCGAATAATTAGAATTAAATAGTTTTAAGTTTTAAAAAATGTCTCGACTTTTTGTTGACTGTTTCGTCTTCGTATTATGTTAAACTTTATTTTTTTTCCTTATTGACTTGTCGACAAGTGTTGCCATAGGTAAAAAAATCTTGTTTGCTTTTTAACTCATTCAACACGAGGCGTTGCAAATGCGTGTGACTCAGCTAAACTTGTCACAGGCAGCGATGCAAATTGCTGTATGCAATACAGCAGTTTCAATCAAGGGTAATATTAAAATTCGTGAAAGTAATCGAAGAAAACTAAGTTATTAAAATAAACAGTTCGGGAACATGTCCGTGGAAATGTCTTGTGTTCCGCTTATATCATAAAGAGCATGTGTTTATGGTAAATTAGATTACGCTTCTAATCAAAAATTGCAGGTTGTCGTTAATAAGTATGCTAAGTACGTGTTCAACAAGCGAAGATATTATATACGATATCAATATATATATATTCGATTTTACCCTATTTTCAAAAAAAAAAAAATGATAATTCGATTATAGGATATCGCCGTTCTAGCTGCAGATTTTGGGTTCTGATCTTTTGACATATCTTAATATAAGAAATCTGCCTTTTCTACACAAGTTTATACGAACCCAAACACCAAGGTGTTTACATAAGAGGGGGAGATGAATCTCATTCTATCTGCCTATAAATACTTGATACCATCAATGCTATTCTTCGTTAATCCTTTGCACCCGAACCATTGTTTAGTGCGTGTATTCAGCTACCCGACAGTAGTTTTAATAAGAAATTGTAATACATCAAACATAGGAATTTTAAACAAAAGTAGTTTATTTACATGTCTTATTTTTATTTACATACTACAAACATAATATTTTAATATCAAATTTTATAATTTTCCTTAGTGTGATATTTGAGGAAGCACTGTCCCACACTATCCTAGATTTTTCACGACATGTGTCACCGTAATACACCATTTCACGTCTTCCGCTTTTCCGCTATTGTCTTGATCACTATCTTCTTTATGTTCATTTAGAATGTTATCAATCGATCTAAGCATCTCAAACTCATCTTCGCTGCTACAAATTTCGTTCATTTAATTACCAATGCTTTCGCTTAACAGAATATCAAAAAATGTTTGTTTCGATTTTGCTTATCAGTGTTTTCACTTAACAGAGCATCTAATATTTTGTTACGATATTGCCAGAAACGCTATAGTGTTCAGACTGAATGATCTAAGTGTCCACCATATGATTTACACCTGAATAATCTCACAGCAAGTAAAAAAATTTACAACGCGTGCACAATTTAATGTACAATATTATCAAAAATAGTAGTGGCATCTCTCGGGCGACTTCCGGGTGCAAAGGGTGAACGCTGTAAAGTTATGGAACTCGTTACTAAGTCCTATCAAAATGATTTTTAATCCTTGTGCAAAACTCTTATTGACGCATTAATTATAAAATGGATATGGAACTTTAATGATTATTACTTACCTTTAATTTTTAATAAACTTATCTTTAACCTTTAATTAATACAAATGCGGCGTATTTTTTACTGCACTCGGAACGCTCATATTTTTTCATTATTATCAACCATTATTATTTATCAACCACCGATGTTCCCCCATTTTTATGATAAAATGATTAATTGAATACATTCATTCAATCAAAATGCTTGAGACGGGTTAGACGATTCCATAAGCCTAATATAGCAAGGTTGTAAACTAAACGCGACCAATTGCAATCAAGTTAGTGCGATCATATTGAACACGCAGAAGGACTGCAGATAGATCCACCAAATCCAGATGTAGCAATCGATTCAGAGTCATAATCTGAATTGACTTAAGTCTGTCTGTCCGACCGCCCGCCTGATGTTCGTCCATGTAATATTGTGTTTAAGTTGCAGTTCGCAACTTTTGAGATATTTTGATGAAATTTGGTACAGCGACACATTTTGACCCAAGGACAATCCCTGTTGAAAATGGTACGGATCAGCCGACCTTTTCAACCGGTTCCCATATAACGCCCTGTTGTGGAAAGCTGTTATTAGGAAAAAAATGGCAGTTTTCCAAATTTCTCAGAAAAAATGGGTAATTAGTAGTACTTTGGTATTCTGAGTTGATATGGTAACGTTAGACTAGCTGGGGCCATTTTTGAACCCCCATATATAACGAACACTGAAGTTCACACGACAAACGGGTACACTTTTCAACGCTTCTCGAAGAAAGTTATATCGTTATAGTAATTTAACATAAAAAAAATTAACCACATAAAATTTGGACCATCTCGGCCTATTTTTGCATCCCGTCCTATGTAAGCATTAAACTTGTCCTATATTGGGTTTTTTAATAATAAAAACTCTATGGAAGTTGTATTGAAACGAACAAAAGTAAAACTTTTTTCTGTTTTTATAATAAATACTCTATTGAAACCAACAAAAGTAGAAATTTGTTGTGTTTTAATACTAAATATTCTATGGAAGTTGTACTGAAACCACAAAAAGTTGTAATCAGTTGGTTTTTTGATAATAAATACTCTATGGAAATTGCATTTAAACCAACATAAACAAGTGCGTTCACAATCACCACAAAAAATCGCAATAAGAGAAAAATAAGTTTAAAATATGGTTGGTCATAACTTGGAGGCTTTTACAAATACAGATCGATCCTTTTCTTTTTCCGTTTCGTTTTGCTCACTGTCTTTTATACCTGAAGAGAAAATAAAGTGTCAAAATATAGTTGACAATAACTTAGGAGCTCTAGCAAAGATCTCCGCTTTTGGGTCGTCCTTACTTTCGTTATTTACTCTAAAGTTTGTCTTTGACGCGATCTGCTTTTAATTTGAAAAATGAAATTCAAAAAAGGAAAGCATCTCCCCTGTAAAAATCAAACAACAAGGAGAATAGGGGATATCGCGGCGCCTATGCAAATCCAAATATGTTATTCACTATTTCTGCACATTTTGGTAACTTGGTAGCCCGTAAGGAACTTTGGCTTAGAAAGTACAAAGAAAATAAAAAAAATATACAGAGCGATTACCTTCAAGGAATTCTTTTACAGACATGGCGATCACAAGAACAATGACTTAACTGCTTATAGTATAGAAGCACTCCTTAATACATTTTTCGTATTCTAATCAAAAATTCTGTCAGACGAACTGTTTGCTATCGCAGTTAGTTGCGTCTTAGCGCAGAGGGCAGTGGCATGAAATGTGCATAAAACCCCTAACTGCCTTTAATGTTAATTTGATAAATTGCGGCGTTTTTGGTAGTAAACAAACAAATCCGCTGGACGTTACAGATCATCGCTGCTGATCATTGTTTTCTTTTACAATTGGCTCTCTCCACCTGCGTTCAACTTTCAAGCAAGAGCATTTTAGTTACGGGTTTTCAAGCTATCTATAATAATAGGTACACATGTTCAAATCTCTGCTTAATTAATGAAACCACTGCACCAGAAATGTCTAGTTCCCGAGCCTCAAAGCAATCAATAAATTCAAACCATTTTTCACATAAAGCCCTAACATACTTTCATATGTTATAAGCCTGTGAACGTTGTAAAAAGCGCTACTTGGTCCAAACTTTTTCAAAAGACATTCAGTTCTTAATATTAAGGGATAAGCAAATAGAAGAGTTTTTTATTTTTATATTAGAGTAATTGCTCAGGGCGCATCTCCCCCCACATATGAAGGCTTGTACGTAGAGGGAGGAGAGTAGGGGAAGTAGTAATTATGTACATTCGACTCGACTTCAGTGGAAACATTCGGAAGTACGGTGGAAGATCGACGAGTCGTGTCAATATGTTGTGCGCTTTGCAGGCAATTCCAAAACGTGTGAATAAGTCCTCTAAGTCATCTCGTAAAGGGTACTGATTGATGGGCGAATCTCTTTAACCACCTTAGCAAACTTTCACTGGATGTGCCTCCAGGCGCCAAGTACAACAGAGCCCACGTTACGCTGAAGCTCAAAGGTTGCGCAGATATTTAATGAAGTGTCGTCCCACTTGTTGTGGGCCCGCACATGATATATATGTCTTTATATAGAAACAAGATATAATTTTTGTGTTCTATAATAAAAATAAGAATTGTGTTAGACAATGTGGTGGAAGGTAGTAATGATCGGTCTTGGCCGACTGTAATGTTCTTACTTGTTGTTAAAGGTATTTGCATGCATGCGCTACGTTAAGATTAATTATTTAGTGAGATTAATATTTTGTATAACTTGTAAACCTCGACGAACTCATCTTACTTTCCTGTTGAGATTAGCAAAATATGTACAATACTGGTCGTAGACATTACATCCAAAATGATCGAAATCACGAAAGGACTTTAGCATTTGGCTTTTTTTACTGCTTACTTTTTGACAAGATTTGTAATCAAAAAAAAAAAAGTCGCAAATGTTCACATATTTCGATGATGGGTATAAAAAATTTAAAAGATCAAATTTTTAAATTACAAACATTGCACTTACTTGTGCACATTACGAGAAGAGTTGTTATAGAAGACATAGGTTATTAAAGTGCCGAAAAAATTCGCTAAGATGAAGAAAATTTGAGTCACACCAGCGTACCAAACTTAGAAGTTGATAAAAAGCTGGAATATAGAAATTTTTCAACAATTACGATCGAAAATTGTCCGGAAAATTTTCACTTTTTCCAATTTAAAAATGAAAAATTCCTAAGTGCTTGTACCGACGTTTTTGACATATCTCGCAAAAACGTTTTTAAATTTTGAATCAGTCTACGCAAAAAGAATCTATTTAAAAAATTTTTTAATAAATATTTAATAGTATGTTAAGGCGCGTCTACTCCCTTCTTTATTTCAATTAATACACGTCTGGCGAAGCCCTTTTTAAAGATCAAATATAAAATGATACATTAGCCAATAAACTTCGCAAA